GGATGGAGGCTCCAGCGACATCGCAGAGGGAACTAGGGCACATCTGCTCCAATGTCTTCTGCTGGCAGAAGCAGGAACTGGGGCCCAGAGAGGAGGGATGAGTTCAAGGTTACTTCAAGGAGCGATGAGACAGAGAGTACAGGGCCCAGCATGGAGCTAGGCCAGGCAAGGCTGTGCCCTGTGGCCATGGACTAGTGGAGGAGGCAGAAGATATATGAGGGGCTCAGAATGAGGCGGGCTTGGAGCAGGGACATTTCCATGGCATGGAGATGGCCAGGCTAGATTTGCCCAGAGTAAATAGGGAGATTGGTTGCCTTTCGGGCACGCAAAGAAGGAAGAAAGGCTTTGGTTCACAGGGATCTTTGCCACACGACCGACCGGCCTCCCTTCTCAAGGCCTTGCTGGTCTCCTTTGCCCAAGGGAGCAGCTCTCCCATGTTACAATCAGGGCACAGAGACATGAAGTGACAGAAGTGGGCAGGTGCAGCAGACACCCCTCTGTGCCGGCTGGGGAGGGTGGCCTTGGCCTGGGGAGTCTGACCTCCCAGGCTGAGCTGCACTCCTTCAGCTGTGCGCCTCAGGTGAAGCCCCCATGTGCACATGGGGCCCTCTCAGGGGCAGTCGCCCTGTCACCCCTAAGAGCGGTTTAAACAGAACAAGGACAGCTAGTGACTTAAAGAGACCTTGAGGTCGAGGAACCTTGTAGACTCAGGAAAGGAAAAGAAAAGCTTGGGCTTGGGGGTGGGGCAGGGACAAGGGGATGGGAGGAGGGAAGGGAGAGGCTTTCAAAGAGAGAATGAAAGAAATGAGTTATTCCAGTGTGGGGAGCTTAGAAAAGTCCACTGAATCTTTTAACAACCCTGTCAATTATTCATTTTCTAGTGTGCGGGCCCTCTGGTTGGCCTCAGAGCTGCTGTGAGCAGGGCGGATGGAGGGAGGGAAGCAGAGAGAGAGAGAGAGAGAGAGAGAGGGGGAGAGAGAGAGAGAGAGAGAGAGAGGGAGAGGGAGGGAGAGAGTGGGGGGTAATGGGGGTAATATCAGAAAGAAATGGGAATATACAAAGACAATGGCATGCATGTGTATATGTGCATGGGTGTGTGTGTGTGTGTGTGTGTGTGTGTGTGTGTGTGTGTGTGTGTATGTGTGGGGGCAGGGAGAAAGAGAGAGAGCAAGTGAGAAATGGTGGGGTGGAGGGCAGTGGAAGGGAACACCCCTGCTTCAACCTCTGGGTGGAAAATACACTGAATACCTTTTCTAAAGCCTGGTCCTCCTCCTTCAGGAAGTCTTCCTAGGTTCTCTCTCCTTCTCCCCTCCTAGAGGAAGGTCCTTTGTCTGGATCATGTCCCCCTGCTTGGCCATCTCTAACATGTTCATGCTTGTCTGCTCTGTGAGGCTGACGGTCTGTGGCTGTTCCTTTGTGAGGGGGATCTCCAGTTTTCGGGCCTCAGTCTCCTCTCTTGCCCCCATGTCCTCACTGGGTGTAGGACAGGGCACTCACTAGACTGATTCATCCTAAGCTTCTGACTAGTCTCATGGGTCTTTGTGAGTGGAACTCCGCCCCTCTGAAGACTGAACAGACCCTTTCAGCTTACCTGCTGTGGTGGTGGCATCAGGAACACTGGCTAGCTAGAGTGATGTGGCTCAGCTGTCTATGGGATAAGGACAAGATGCTGGCAAAGTGGGTCTTCAGAGAACTGTCCCTTTCAGAATGATCCAGGAGCTCAACATTTCCAAAGAAATGTATGTTCTGGGCTGCTCATCAGGGACGCAATTGCTTCCCTTAGCTCTGCCACGGGTCCTCCCCTCCATCTCAGTGGTCCCACCCAGCACTGAGCTTTCTCCTGCCCTGAGAAAATGGTCCCTGGAATATCTGCATTAGAGCTAGGTGTCTGGGGATGGAAAGAGATGGCTGGGCTTGGTAGGAGTCCCAGCTGGAGTCTGTGTGCTGTGAGGGGCAGGGAGCATTGCACACGAGACCACAGACCACAGTCCCTCTACCTGCTCCTCTGTCCCCAAGGAGCATCTTCCCAGAGAATGTTCAATTTTCAGTGCTCCCAAGTAGACTCGGGAGAGAGCCAGAGATAAAATGGATTTGAGGCTCTGGGGAATGCTTGGCGACACTAGACAGAGACCGAGGCGCCACGGAAGTCAGGTGATGCAGAGGCTCAGCCAAGGCCACAGAAGAGAGCAGAGGGGGCCACTCATTCATCCTCGGACACTGCACAACGACTGCTGTGGCCCAAGGCACCCTGCCTCACTCACAGGCTCTGCTGATGACACTCCCTGGTACAAGTCCCGAGTCACATACCTCATGATTGTGTCACTGCTGCTCGGGTGCCTCGGGGCTCCTCAGGTATCTGCTGCTATAAGTCTGCGCCTTGAACCTCAGGTGCTGTGCCTGTGCTCTGTCCCACAACCATGCCTCCCTGCCCTAAAGTGCTGGGTGACATCATCGCACATCAGTGTCTATTGCTACGCAGCCACACTCCTGGCCTCCATGGCTGTGTTCTGTTGCTTGTCACAGAGCGTGCGTCTCTCGGTTGCATGAGTTCATCCACTGCTATGTAATTTTCTTTGGTTGCCATGGAACAGTGTGACCCATGGCTACACAGCTGCCTGTGATTGGCATGGAACTGTAGACTGTTGCTACCCAACCGCATTCTGTTACTTGCAACGGGGTTTCTCTCGGCCATGGGAAGGTGTATGGCTGGGTCCCGCCCTCATCTTTCTGAGCTCTGGCCTGTCGGTTTGTAGGATAGCAGCTAGGATAAAGTGATGGCATGGGGGCTGGGGAGAGAGCGGGGGGGGGGGGGCAGCGAGAGAGTCCATGTGCTGTGTTGGAGGGCTGAATCAGCATGGGAAGATAAAGGCTGAGGCCAAGAGTCACGAAGGAGGGTTCAAGGTTAGCATGGGTCTGGAGTAGCCTGGAAAGGGCAGGAAAGAGGGCCCCGGGCTGCAGCCTTTTACAGGGCATGGAAGGTGGGCTAGCTCACCACAGGCCTCTGCAGCTACCCAGAATTTTCTGGATGCTACATAGCATGGATTGACAAGGCCAGGGAGCCTTGGGCAGGTATCATATTACTTCTGGATCAGGTCATAGCCACCGTGGGTAAAATGAAAACAGGTCACAAATGGTGGTTAATCTTGATCAGAAATTTTTCCCTAATGGCTGACCTTAACTTCTCAGGCTGTGTCTAATCCCTCTCCTTTGGTTGAATCCTTAAGAAAAAGTCAAAACTAACTGTCTCTCCGTGTGATACCATCCTTGCTGACATTTAAAGTCAAGCCTTCAAATGTCCACCCATCAGATCCATCCTACCCTGAAAGGCCCTTTTCCTCCTTCTCTCTCATTCATTACTATTCTCAATCAATTTCATAGATGCAATGGGCCTCCAGTCCGGCCATTCCACTCCCTTTTATGTCTCCCACCACAGACAAATGCACAGCATTAAGTTACGTGTGTTTACCATTGCATATGGGTCTGGCTCTCAGACTTGCTGTCCTCAGCTCAGATCTTACAGAGAGCCCCTGCCATTCCCAGCATTCCCAGTGGGGTGGGGCTTGGTACTGCTAACTCCTTGCTCACACTATGTTCAGGATGTTCAGGTAGGGTCTGTATCTCTGCTGTCAGAGGTAGTGTGACTAAGGGTGAACTCTGGCCTCTGGGGTTGGGTAGGGCCGAGGCTTGGTTGACTCACCTCAAGGCAGTGGGGGTTGGGGGGCAGGAACTCACTGACACTCTTTGGTGGTAACCAGGGAGGACCACCTTTCACCTTCTCCTTCCTTCCCATCTGCCCTTTCCTGTAGTGGCCCCTTCACTTTTACTCACTGCCCTGGCTTTTTAAAACCAACTTCCTTTTCTGCTTTGGGTCAGGTTGTGCAGGCTGACAAGAATTAGTTTACTGCTGTCCCGAATCTCCCAGGCCAAGAGATCTGTACCTTTATTTTCAATGCAATTGATGTCTGGGCTAGAGGTCGCCCCTGAGTCTTGCTTCTCCACAAGGCAAAGGTGGAGTGTGTGGACTAGAAATGTTTCTGAGAGCTGTTGCTCAGACAGGAAGGCTCCACTCTTGGGGAGGGTGCTCCATGTGGGGACCTCTTGGGGACACTCAGCAGCCAGCAGCCTTTCCTATTGTCTGATGGGACATGTTTCAGAAAGGTGCCAAGTGCCAAGGGTGGACAAGGAGATTGCCAGTAGAGAAGGGCAAGTCCTCAGGAGGAGACCTGAGGATTAGGTTGGTGGCTTTGCCTGGGGCCTTTCCTTGGGATCTTTGGAGCAGCATTTGCTCATGGGATCCACTGTGGAGGGCTGTAGGAAGCCACATTATGGAATCTCTCATGGTCACTGACTGGGGTGGTGATACCTCCACTTGGGACTTCAGAGGGATTGTCTTTTGAGTATATGCTCTTTTGCTGTCTGTACCAAGAGGCTGAGACTCAGAAGAGACCCATCCTGAGGCCAGGTACCAGCATCAAAGACAGGTACTGTGCCTGAAAATAGTGTCCCTTTTTTTTTTTCTTTTTTCAAGACAGGGTTTCTCTGTGTAGCTTTGCGCCTTTCCTGGGACTCACTTGGTAGTCCAGGCTGGCCTCGAACTCACAGAGATCTGCCTGCCTCTGCCTCCTGAGTGCTGGGATTAAAGGCGTGCGCCACCACCGCCCGGCCCCCCCTTTTTTTAAAAGTGCATCTCAACTACACCTTTTATAAGTTACAGCTAGTTTCTTGGGGGCTTTCCACAGCCTGGGGGACATACTCTGAGCTGGACATGACTGAGCAAGCATTACAGGAATTCTCATAAATCCCATGAGAGCCCACAGGTGAAGAAACTGTGAAAGGGAGTCACACCTTCCTCCCACCAGCTCGTCTTTAGGGGTAACTCACATGCAGAGTGTGCCAAAGGAGTGGTCCACTTGCCACCTGGGGGGTGATCTCAGGGGTGGTTCCTTCCCTATTGCCCCAGCACAGTACAAGTCCTCCCTGTCCTAGGGAGAGGCACTCACCATGTCACGCAATGTCTGAGGCTCCTCGGCTTCCTGAGAGGATTCTGAGGAGCTCATGGACCAGGACTCACGGATGGCACCCAGATTCTCATCTAGGATCTTGGGGTTCAGAGTGGGCAGAGCCTTGCTCTTGTTTGGTGTCAAGAAGTTTTCTGGCCTCTAAAAAAAAAAAAAAAAAAATGGAGACTTTGAACTGGCCCTTCCATGGTGCCTGCTATACTCCAAGCTCCCTGGCATGGCTCAGCAGGCCCTGCACACCTGCCCTCTGTACACTCTCTGTCACCTGCCCCTTGCTTAATGGGTCCCAGACACAGTGTCCTGTAGCTCCTCCAACAAGCTAAGTGATTCCCTGCCTCAGGGCCTTTGCATCTGCTTCTTTCTCTACCCAGAGATCCTTACACAATTCCCCCTTACCATCATTTGGGTCTGGCCCATGTATAATCTTTTTGGAGAAGCCCTGCCCTTTGACACAGAGACCACACTCCCACTCCAAAGTAACCCCATCATTCATTGCATACCGTTTTACAGTGTTCACAGTAATCACTCTATGAAAACACCTTTCAGACAGTGGGTTTGCTTATTGACTCTCTCGGCCTTCTCCCAGCGTTCACACCAAGACTGAAGTTTCACGTAAGCAAGGGTACTATTATCTCCAGTGTCTTTCTCACTGTGGCTGCTCAACAAACGTTCATAGGTGCTCAGTGAGTATGCCACCAATGGCCTCCATACCCAGTACAGTGATAACTTCTAAAATGCCCTGCTCTTTTCTCCCCCTTCCCATCACTCACTTTGATCACCCCCTTAGAGTGTCTCTCTGTGCACTTTGGTGAACCCTTCTTCTTCATGACCCTCTCTCGTCCTCCCTCCTCCTCCCTTGGGGAAGCCCTGTGCCTCTGTCCTCTCTTGGTCAAGGGTTTCCTGGGTTGTTCTAGCCCAGCATTGGCTACCTGTACTTTCACATTGCTCTGCGGTTCTAGGCTAGCTTGCTATTTTTGTTTTTCCCAATAAAACTTTATCTTCCTCCTATGTTCTTAGGGACATGTGTCGGCGGTCTTTTTGTGGGGGTGGTCACTTTAAAACTTGTTTGGGGGCTGGCGAAATGGCTCCACGGGTAAATGAGCTTGCTGCCAAGCCTGAAGATGTGAGTTTGATCCCTGGGAACCAGGCAGTGGAAGGAGAGGGTCATCTCCTGCATGTTTCCCTGACCTCCACACATGCACCATGGCACACGTTGACATGTGCACACATACACAAAGTAGATAAAAGTGTACTAATTGTTTTTAATTAAGGAAAAGTTATTTGAAACCCATTGTTAGCTCTACCAGTTCGACAGTTAGTTCTACAGTCTCCTGGTTTTCAGAGGCCTCAAATGTGATGCAATCTCACCCCGCGTTAGCTGTTGGAATCCTCGCTCAGCCTCAGTGCAGACTTATTTATTCACTGGATGGTGTCTTGCTAGAAGCAAACAGAGCCATGGGCACAATGCCAAACAGGAGGGATGTGCTCGGGGCTCCAGGTGGCCCCGTGTCTAACAATTGGAGTGAGGAGGGTACCTGAGTACCTCACTTCGTGGACACTACATGGAAGCCTACACTCCTGGACTACGTAAACGGAAGACTATGCACTCAAACACTGAGGTGTTTGCAATGATTTCTTTATGTGCCATACAATTTGGGGTTCAGAAATGCATTATAACACAGGGCTTCTACATGCTATGTCAGCAGAGTTAGGGATCACTCACACACACATGGAATCACCTGGGACATTCTAGGCCCCAATCCCTCTCTTTTGAATGGGTATAAAATAGATAATTCCTAAGAGAAACATCTATAAATGCTCTTGGCATGAAAGAGGGATGCATTTGGTAACCCGAGGCTGACTTCAGCAGGCCATTTAAATCTGTGAACATCAGTCCAGCTTCCTGCCTTATCTTCTCCTGTTTGAAGAAGGGCAGGATTCACTTAGATGTTTCCCAAATAATACCGAATCTTTTATGCCCTGGAAGTAAGTGCCCAGTGCAGCATCCCACTCACACAGTTTGGGGTTTTCTAAGTGAGTGTTCGGATAAGTACCACATCTGTCTCCTACTCAGAAATTTTGAACACTTGGGGATGGGAAGATTGTTCAGAGGTTAAGAGCACTGGCTGCTCTTCCAGAGGATATAGGTTCTATTCCTGACTCCCAGCAACCACGATCTGTTAACAGCCCTCTTCAAACTTCTATGGATACTAGGCATACATGTGGTACATAGGAATATATGCAGGCAAAATATTCATATATATAAAAAATATTTTTTAAAATGCTGAACATCAGACTGACTGCAGAGGGATAGCTATGAAATGCTTATTGGGCAAATTGATGGTGGTAGAAAAATAAGGAATAACCAGCCAGGGCAAAACCCACCTCCCTAGTGACCAGGTGGGTCCAAGCTCGGGTGAGATGCTGATTCAGGACCCGTAATGACATTTCTCCTCATTTCCAGGCAGAAAGCCAATCTCAATGCCCTGGATTTCATAGACTGCCATCTAATCCAGTTAGCGGAGGAAGTAGGAGTAATGAAATCAAAAGAGGTCTCCAGAGGTGGCCCAGTCATTACAGAAAGCAGGGACAATTGCCGAGGGAGTCACCTCCCCCACTGCCTGTCTCCTTGCTGTCCACCCTGTATGGTCCCAGGACCAGCTAGGCCAACCCAGTGATGTGGAACTGATGTTTTTGGGTCAGAGTTACACACTCACCAGATATTTTTAGGCAGATTCTGATACTATGTATAAATCCATTTAATTTCACAACAGATAAGTTAAAAATGAGACTCTCAGTCCAGAACAGTGAATCCATCTCACCAGCCTCTCCTGGGCAGGGGAGTATCCCGAGGAGGAGGGAAGGCTGGCAGAGTAGGAGGGGGCAGGAGGGAGCCAAGCCTCGTGGGTGAACTGCCTATTCAGGCCTTGCTTGGCTCTGCTAACCCCATTCTTTTCTGTCTGCTCACCCCGCAAGCTTGTTTATTTGCTTTTCTATTTGGCAGGACTGCTGGGGCAGCATGGGGCTGACAAGTGGCCCCTCAGTCTGTAGCTCCGTGGTGGGAGCAGATCCTGCTTCATTAGGACCGTAATTGGGGACTGACTTTGAAAGCTCAAAGAGATGCATGGCCATGCACCAGCTCAGACACAGCACCCAACCCAGCCCCTGCACTGTGCCGGGCGGCTGCACACCACGTGAGAAACACGGTGGGAGGAGATGTCCAGCAGGCACTCTTACCAGCAGAGTGGGGTCTGTCGAGAGGCTGGGCCAATGGCATGCCAAGCTGGCAGCATTTGAGGTCACCTGTCTCCCCTCCCTACCCTCAACACCTCTGCTGCCCTCCTCCCTACTCCATCCCCTAGATCCCTGGTCATGCAAAATGCAACAGCTCCTGCTTGCCCCGGCAATTACAAAGCAACCGGGCTGCAGCTGCTGTCCCTGGTGCTGAAAGTGCCCGCCTTCCGGCCAGCCCGCCTCTCGCCCCGCCTTGAGCTTTCTTGGTGGGGGACACAGGCTCTTAATTCAATTAGCTGGCCCTGAACCCTCCCCAGGGAGCCTGGAGCGGAAACTGACAAATTCTGTTTAACAAAGACATTTGTCCCCCGCCCCGCCAGGCGTAGGGCTCTGCTCTCCTGTATCCCGCTCATTAGGTATCTAACAAAGTGCGTCCCAAGAAATCTGCTTCCCATCGCTAGTAATTCAGGAGGCCTGATACAATTTTCTCCCTGATAAGGGTGGCTCACCCGCTGGCAAGCACCATAATGAGCCCCGTGCAGTGGCTCCCTGATCAGTCACTGCTTTGCCATTTCCTGTGGGCTGCAGTTGCAGGTTCTTATCTCTGCAGCTGTAGGCGAGGCTCAGACAGCAGGCCCTTCAAGAGAGCTTGCCTCCCATGCATATGGCCAGCCTCATTTATGGCATCCTGAGGGCTGTGGCAGCTGTGGCAGGTTTGAGCATCTAGGTCGCTCTCCCAGCCAAAAGGGGCCCACGTGTTAATACTCAACGGATCCATGATATATCCCTCAGAAAATGGTGTCAATACCCCCCAAAAGCAAGGGGCAAGAATGGGGGTGGTAAAGATTTTATTATTATTATTATTATTATTATTATTATTATTATTATTATTATTATCATTTTTAATTCTGTTGGGGTGTTAGGATTAAATAGAGCCCCGCCTGTTGCTTAGTGGGTTGGCTGTGGGTTCATTCACTCTTACGGGCCAGAAATCGTTTTTTACCTACATTTCATCAGCCCCTGTTCACATCTGGACAGAACCACACACTACTGCTGCTCAAGGATTTTCTATAGTTGTCCACCACTTTTTGGCCAAGTCCAAACCTTGTGTCCTGGCACCCACCCCATCCTTCCACAATCTGGGCCCCACTTACAAGTCCAGGGTCACTGTTACTACAGCATCCCCACGTCCCACAAGCCTTCATGTCAATGCACATACTGGTCTCTGATACACCTCTGCTTTCCCAATTTCCAAGCTACTATCTGAAGTAGGACTCAAACCATGTCTCTTGGTGACACTTCCCCTAGCCCTGTATTCTCAGTGTAGCGTCTCACGCTGGATGCTCAGGTGATGATAATCTGTTGGAGTGCTTTATTGCTAGGTACAGGTCAGGGCCTAAATAAGTAGGGCCCTAATGAAATTACACATGTGTGATCTCGCCTGGGCCAGGGATCTATCTGGCTTGGCTGGAAGACTAGGCTAGTGCAGTCTGGTCTTGAGTTGGTGAGAATTCCTAGGCCAGCTCTCATTTTCTTAGAAGTTTTTCTAGAAGCCTCTACTCTCTCTATGTCTTCCTTTCATGTCTTCAACCAACAATTCATGCATTGAGCTTGTAAGGAGAGCAGCACAGAGGATGTTCCAAGCCTCCAGGTTCCTCAGCCTGCCCAGCATCCTGACTTATTCCTTGAGAGGTATTTCAGGCTCATGCTCTCAAGGCAACAATGGCCCCAAGGCTGGCGATAAATTTGAGATGAGTGTATCAGGCCTCCTGAATTGCTTGCACCAGAAGCAGCCTGGATCTTGGTCTCAGACCCAGAAGCAGGTCTTTATGTATCCATTTCTTCCATAGCCCCAGATGCAGTCAGGGAAATTCAGCAAATTTGACCTCTGGAGAGATTATCATCAC